TGCATTAAGCACTTGTGTTAAAATGTTGAAGGAAGGCGATGAGCGAACGAAAGCCATGTTCTTACTAGCAATGCTGGATATGCAGCAAAGTAAACCGATGAGGGTGAACATGAAAGAACCTGAAGAACTGGAACCCATGAAAAAGATAGACGAGATCAGGAGATTCTCAAACAAGGAGTTGAGGCTCACTAAAGAATCTATGGGAGCATTGCCAAAATCCAGTGAATACTGTGGACCGATCAAGAAGAAGTCATATAGCTATGTGTCCGGGATTATAGGGATAGCATACAATCCTTTCCTGAGTGAAGACATACGTGATTGCTTCTTTGATTATGAGCAGGCGGTGTTACTAAGATTCTGGACGTCCAGAATTGTGACGACTAAGAGCGTTAACAATCCACAAGCCAAATTGGGATTGGTCTTGGAAGAAGAGGTGACTGCACCTTCAGTGCCAAAATCCGGCAAGAGAGTGGAATTTGGGTTGGGGTTCTCAGATGAATTACTGAGAACGAGCTTGATGGCAGTGTGGGAATTGATGAAGCCATCGTGGTGTCCTAGTCCCAACGCTGACTCAATATTACGGGCGACACAGGACGTACAGAGGGAACTGAATGTGGACTGTAACCTGCGTGACCTCAACATCATATATAATGTGATGATAACAGCCTCTAAGAGCAACGGAGAAGATAGAATGGAGTTGCCTGGCTGGGGACCAGAAGACTGGGTCAAACCTGGTAGCTGTCTGGCGGAAGTCTGTGGACTAGAGGGTCACGTTTGTGGAAGTCTAGACTGTGTGAAAACCCTGGAGAAACAACACAAGCAGTTGACGGTATTGTTTGGAAATGTAGTGATGAAAGCAAGAACGGAAACGGAACTGATAGCAGATTGCCATGGAGGAACCGATGTGAATCTAGTGACAGCACTAGGATTCTACAGCATGTTTGGTTCTTTAGAGTCACTATTGAATCTAGAACAGAAACATGAGATGGTCACAGCCATCAGCGTAGAGGTGTTCCCAGGAGTTCTGCAGACTGAGCAGAAGTATATAGGAAAATGGAGGGAAGCAATCGAAACGGAGATGAACATCAGACACAGCGAAACTTATTGTAGACCATCAGGAGCACGATATTTGGTGGGTTCAACGTTGGCTCCAATGTGCAAGAGCAGATACCCTGTACATTTCGTGGCTGTGGACGTGAAGAGCACAAGAACGATCGTGGATCAAGCTTTTTCAGTGCCGAAGTGCGTGAGGTTGGCAAGAATGTCTGAAAAGTCTTACGAGTTACTGTGTAAGATTTTCTCAGCAGTTCCAGAAAGAACCAAAGAAGAGTTGGAGTCAATACTAGGAAAGAAATTCATGGGATATGTGAGCGGGAACTTCAGTGACTTTGAGAAACAGAAGCAGAGAGGATCAACTGTCACAGATTACAATGCAGTAGATGAGAATGATGAAATCCACCGAGTGATGATGGAAGTGGAACCATTGCTGGAAGCTTCGGGAAAACGTAATTGGAGGAGCATCATGTTGACGCATGATGAGTTTCCTTGCCACTGCTTGTTGCAGACCTGGTGGTATCCCAAGCGTAGTAATCTGATGTTGATCTGCGACTCTGGAGAGCTGCTCTCCATGGGTTTACCAGATTCATCACAGCCCGTAACAATAGTGATAGTGGGAGTTATGATGGCGATACGATGGCTGGAAGCTCATGTGAGAGAAAATAATAGACAGGAGGCACCGACGAGAGAACAATTGCAGAAATTGGATTGTCTAAAAGATCTAGATCTTTTTGAGACAATGTGCAAAGTTCTAAACATTCCGATGGAAGTGAAGAAGATATGGGCAAGAAAACGATTGATGCCATGGTTCAGAGCTAACATGACTGCATGGTTGTACGAGTATGCGAAAAAGCATATGTCGAAACATGGCAGAGTGTACAGTGAATATCAGCTGGACATTGGGGCAGGAGCTTTCAAGCGAGCTTTCGTGACCCATCGGAATGCAGTGACCACCGCTGTGAAAAGAATTTCCAGGACGAGCGAGCGTAGTGGAAATGAGAAGGCAGAGATGCTGAAAGAAGATTTGGAAAGAAACGTGGCGTTGTGTCTCCACAACAGCTTCTGTAGAAACAGAGAATCAAACGTGGATCCCCTACCTTGCTGTAAACAGAGGGTGGAAGAGCAGAAGTGTTGGAGGACGGCTTCCAACAGCGTCAGGATAGTCAATGACGTGCTGCAAGACACGGAGACCGAGAGTGCAGAGTCAGCGTCACAGGAGGAGGAAATGGAGCATTGATGAATGGTCGAGAAAACAAGAGGCAAAAAGAAGGAAAATTAGAAGAATTTAGAAGTTTTAGAACTTCTAAACGACGAAAAAAGAAGAGAACAAAGGGATGATGAAGAAAAGTTAAAACTCAGAATTGTTTTATGTGTGTGAAAAACTCAAATGAGAAACCAAGCAACCAAGTTGTAATTGAAAACTGAAACATTTAAGTTGAGTTTGGAAATTGTTGCATTTATAAATTTGCATTTTGGTTTTAGTTGAAGTGGCTTTAGAGACACTCACTTATTATTTATTTAGAAAGGCTTGAGGGAAGAGTATATTTAAATATTCCAGCCTGCATGATTGTTTTTAATCACTTAGGAAGACTGATCACTTTGTGGTGACATGAAAAACTTGAGTAACTTCTTGAGGAGGGAGGTTGTTGCATTGTTCTTTCTAACCACAAAGTTCCTTAGTTTTAATATTCAGGACAATAAACAAGCAAGATTTCCGAAGGGAAGGAGCATAGTAGGATAATTTTAGCTTGTTGGTTGGCAGGACTGTCCTGCAAGCCAACACCTTTTAAATCTAGGAGAAAAAGTTTCAATCGGGATATTGACACTGGAAGTCAGAAAATATGTTTTATCTTAAGTCATATCCTCAATGTGCAGATTAATGAAAGAATTTGAAGGCTATAGTGATGTAGGATGATGCCATTTATATTCTGCAGTGAGTCGATGTGACGTAGGTAAAAGTAATTTCGTGCATTTTGTAAATTCTGTTCGATGACACTGTAACCACTTAGAACATTGCGCGATTCAATGAGGACATTGACCGGACTGTCCGGGGAGTATGTGACATTCGACCAGAATGGCCAAAATGCAGTCTCTGCAGAATTCGGTATTTTGGCAGCAGGCCTTCCGAATTGGCGATTTAGAACGGATAAGGACGTTATTTGAACGATTAGCCAAACGGTGAAGGCTAGAAGATTCTGGAATTCTAATTTTTAAAAATTCGAATTATGACGTCATATTTCTGAGAAACGTCAGAAACGGCCATTTTTAGCTAAAAGAGCAAGAAAAAACAGAACAACTTTATCTGCGATTACGAACAGTACGAAATCGAGACTAAAAAACTACAACGAACTACCGAACAGCAGAGGACGTTCCGAGTTGCAACTATTGTGCTGTTACAATAGTTGCAAGGCCGTTGCGAGCAACGGTGAAGGGTAAAACCCAGCCTTCCGAGTTGTTGTGAACTGGATATTAAGAAGCTTGATTCACCGGATTCAAGAATCCGGAAGGGTCTCGGGACGTGGACTTTTATGAACTTATATTGAATTTTAGTATCCGTCATGTCCTGACTTGAATTTAATTAAGATCTTAATTCGTTTTGACAAGAATGAGGAGCTAGAAGTAGGGGGGAAAGGGTTGATCCATCTTCGATGGAGATGATGATTTTTATCTACTGAACAAAAACAATAGTAATATAATAAGTAGTAGCCCTGTTTTTAGGAGTGACCTCGTGGTCTGGGGATACTGAGACCCAGCCATGAGCTCACTATTTTTGCATGTAATCTAGTTAATTTGAGCGTTCTGGTCGAAGCCGGAGAACAGTAACGTTTTTGTCAGCCTGATGTAAGAAAGACCACCGAAAAGTACTGGCTTGGTAGAGACGGTGAAAAACATGCAAAGCTCTGTTTAGACGCTAGCCAGTCGTCTTAAGACTTAGTTTTGTTATCCGTCGATATGTATCTTCCGGGCGAATGTTACATCGCGGGAAAGTTGCTAGAAAAATCTGTGGGAAATTGCTATTCGCAATTTCCATCACTATAATAATCGAAAGTAGAGCTGTCCCATCTGTGACAGAGACGAGAGCATTCCCTCGAATTGGATTATAACAACTGGAGTATTATTCGGAACTGGACTAGAGTGAACCTTCGGTGGAAAGGTGGACAGCTAGAGTGTCCCAATGGTTCACGAGAACTTACAGTCTAGAGTAAAAACTTGTTCTTGTTGTTAAAACTGACTGACTCATTTTAGTTACTTTATTAATTCTTGAGTTGCTTACCGACTTATTTACTTCCTGGTTCTTGAGCGTGCTACAATGTGAGTACTTAATTTAAATTCCTAGAGTGTGTTTTATAATTGTTATGTTGAGGTAAGGCGAGTTTTAGGTTGATCCATCTGAAATGGATCAAAGTTACACTGTCTAATAAAAAGTAACTTAACGGATTGTTCCAACCCGGTTTTTAACGGCGTTCATGTATTTTGGGTATCTAGAGACCTAAGTATGGGGACGTTTCTAATTCTAGAGTGGGGGGATATTTTAGTAGTAGCCTTTAAGCTGTAACGGGTCGTAGTCTCATGTCACAAGCGAACCGAACTGGCTCCGACCGTTCTTGAGGTAGAAAAACACAAGAGATGGTGTCCCTGACCCTTGAGCCAGTGGTTATAGGGCCTATTTTTCTTAAGCCTCATGTGTGACTGCAGTAGACGAATGTTACACACATTGATCTCTTATATAGATGTGTAATTGATACCTTATTTTTAATGTAAAGTTTTTTTAGACTTAATTTTCACTTATATCTGACTTACAGTTGCATATTTGAAATTAATTTCATCTCGCAATTTAAATGTTTTTTTTTATCTTTTCATTTATAGTTCGCTGCTTCACGTACAACTCTGTCTCTGAGTTTTGCCTCTTAGTTTTTAATTTTGATTCCTCAGTTTTATGCTTCAGTTGAAATGAAGGCTTTGATTTTGGTTGGTGGATATGGCACAAGACTGCGACCATTGACACTCAGCTCACCCAAACCTCTGGTTGAGTTTTGCAACAAGCCAATTGTTTTGCACCAAATTGAAGCCCTTGCTAAGGTGAAAAGAATTGAAATTTTATTCACGAAATAACGAGATTATCTAATCATGGAGTGTTGTTACAGGCGGGAGTTACACACGTCATTCTAGCTGTTAGTTATCACGCTGAAAAATTGGAAGAAGAATTGAATGTATATGCTAAACAACTTGGAATCAAAATTTCTGCAACTTATGAATCAGAACCTCTCGGAACAGGTAAATTAAGGGAAGCTGTTTGTAAAAAAACTCAAACAAGTAATGAAACAGAAAGTAACCTTCAAAATTTTCTGCGAAAATATTTACTCTGCGTTTTAGAGAGGAAAGTTTCCGGTCAATGTGCTATCTTACAAGCGTTTTTACGACAATATGTTATCTGTGAATTTCTCATTACGCTTGCGAATGGCAAGCGTTATAAGACCGGAATATATACGTTTTTTTCGGGTCAACAAATAGTGTAACAGAATCACCTGCCTCTAAAGACGAAGGTCATTTTGTCTGCGGAAATGTTTTCGCGCGGTAAAAAATATTTGTCGGACTTCTGTTTGTCAGCTTTTTCATGTTGCCGTAGGGCCAAATCTAATCTAAAGTTTGGGCATTTATTACTCAATTAAAAGTATATATTCTTTGTTTTGGCGCAGTATTAACACCCATGCGTGAGACGACAAAGCTCGAGTCCAGTGGGGACCTGATTTTTTGTGGAAACTGAAAGTATTCGACTGTTTTAGAATTTCGTGTCTGCTTATTTTTGACGGCTTAGGTACAATAGAAAGGTTCGGTTTCTTTTTTAACATTATGAAAGCTCTTTGTAAAGTTTCTAATGGTGCATGTAATTTTGTTCCTGGAAATTTCCATTGTTTTTTGCAAATTTCCATTGTTTTTTTGCCACTGTATATGAGAAAATGTGAAGTTCACAAGCTCCGAATTATCAGTGAAATTCCTTAACAGTCCAACTGAATGCATGCAAGTTGCTAAGCAACAACGACAAAAGCCTAAGCTTTCTTTGAAGCAAGCTATATCTGGTTCGGCAAATAAGCTGTTTTAGTACTATCGTAATTCAAATCAGCTCTTATTCTATACTCGAAAAAATTCTGCTTGTAATCAGAATTGTCTCGATAAAACTTCAGTTAAGGTGCATAAGTTTCCGGCTGAATGAAAAAAAAAACAATTGTCCAGTTTTCTCAAATTGAACATGGGTTCATGAATTTTTTATTTTTTAGAATTAGTCATTGTGTTCAGTTTATTAACACTCTGTTGGCTAAGGCTCGGCTTGGAAAAGCTATCATTACCCTTGCGATATGCAGAGATGGTTGTTATATTAGGTTCATTTCACAATGGTTTCAAATTTCTGTGCGTCTCCGGCACACTTGGTCTGAACGTAACAAATACGCCTGGAACCGCAAAGGTCCTGGTTCGAATTTGACGGGACTTGTTTTTTTTAAACTGGAAATATCCCGTTTCAAAAAAATGTCGGCTTCGTATTTGTCTGCTTAAGTTTTGTCGGCTTAGATGCCACATCGTGAGATTGTTTGATGTCATACGATGTTTGCTGTAAGCATTTTACATTGTAGTTGCTTTTACTGTTTCGTTTATTTTCTGTTGGTTGTAGTTGCTTTATCTTGACCTTGTACATTGTCTTTTTTATTTGCTTTTTTGTTAGTTCATGTTTTATCGGCTAAGTGACCTAATTTTGAGTCGTTTCAAAGGAAACATACTTTGTATGCTCTCCTCTGGATGACACAAAATGCTAAAATCTTAAAATAGACATTATATTTCAAATTTTTTCATGAAAAAGTTTCGTTTTCGCTTCTATGGGAATTTACTTGTAATTTTTGTCGGCTCAGTTGCCGCTCAATTAAAATTTTTTGATTTTCGTTATACTCTGTCGATTGTGTTTCCTAAACATCATTCCAGACAAAATTTTGTATTTTTTTTCTTTATTTTTTTGGACGTAGTGGCTTTCCTTTTCTTTGCTTCTATTAACATCATTACGATAGCGAGCTTCCGAGCGTATATGTATTAGTACGATTTTTTTCTCACCTAACTCGCAAATAAAAGTTCATTTAAAAGTGTCACTTATGCTATAATCACGATCTATAGCATTGGAAATTTAATAGCATCTGTTTCTGCTTTCTTTTTGGCTAGTGTTTGTGAGTTTTTAAGCGTCCGTGGCTGAGTGGTTAGTGGGTGAGACTTATAATATCTAAGTCGCAGGATCGAATTTTGTCAATTTTTTTTTAATTCGAGGCTTTAATTTTTTGTTGCACCATACAGCTGCTTTTTGTCGTGTTGTCGCTAGTCAAAATCTATCAGCGCATATGGCGTAGAGGTTTAACACATTTGCTCGAAACAATAAAGGATGGTGGGACAGATCTGGATGTGACCTGTTTATTTGCAAACTTAATGTGTTCTGCTTTTTCACACTATTGTCTTTGTTTATTGTTGTCGGTTTAGTTCTAGTGGCCACGACTTTTTTTTTGAAGGTTCAGCTTAATTTGAATTTTTTGAATGGCATTTCTAAGCATTAGTCGTAGATGTGTTTGAGTAACAAGATTTTTGGCGGAATTTAAGTCTTGTTTTCGAAAAATTTTCCATGAAATATTCTATATTGACTGAGTGGCCTCATATTGTTTCATTTGACGAGTGAATAAAGTATTTGTGTGTGTCTTTTGAGAGTGAGGGGAACTTAAAAGTTTACAAACTTTAAAAAACTATTTGTTAACTTCTCACTGATGAAAAAAGAACTTAAATTCTGAATTATTTCTCAAATGAGACACAGAGCAGAAGCAGAAGCTGATTTTCGCACCACTTACGATATAAAACGTGCCCCGACAAAAGAATGTAAATTTAGCACGGATAGATAATATGCCATGAGATAACAAAACCGAAAATACTTCAGCAGAAACCTTTTCAGCCGAAAAAAAATTCAACGAACCTTAAAAAATTATTTTTTTTTCAGCTGAAAGGATTTCTGCTGAGGTATTTTCGCTTTTGTTATCTCTTGGTAAGTTTTTTTCGGTGCTAATTTAACATTCTTTTGTCGTGGCATGTTTTTTTTTTTCAAAGTTTAGCCATATTCTGTTCGATAGATCTAGTTTTTTGAATTTTGTTTTCAACCATGCGGCTTTCGTTTGTATCGCAAGTGGTGCTAAAATCAGTGTCTCCTCTGCGCATATCTTTGTCTCATTCAAAAAATCAGAATTAGTGTTTTTTGGTTTTTTCATAAGTGAGAAGTTAACAAATGGTTTCATCGCGTGTTTTCTGAAGACTTTGATGCAACACAGGTGGGTTTAAAAACGTTTTGAGTCAACCTGAAATTGTTGCTTGTAAAAATTTAATAAAAAATGGTCTTGCAACTATTTTGTTATCTGATTTTTTTTGCTGTTTTTCTAGACTTTCAAGGTTTTGCATGGCAAGTGGTTCAAAGCTCTGATTCGCCTATGTGTCCTATATTTAGGCTAATATTACCTACTTAATTTAAGTTTAAGTAGGTAACAACTGGTTTTTCTCGTTATATATTTATCGAATGGCTTTAATTGGTTTTGTTAGCTGGACCAATTGCCCTTTCAAAGAAAGTGTTGGAAGAAGAAGTGATATCGGAGCTGAGTAACGGGGATGACGACAGCTTGTTCTTTGTTCTCAACAGTGACATCATATGCGACTATCCCTTCAAAGAACTCCTGCAATTCCACAAGGAGCACAAAAAGGAAGGAACGATTGTAGTAAGTTTCTTTAAAATCATGCATGTCCCTTTCATGCTCCGTTTGTTAATTTTGTTTTTACTGTTTAGCCTGATAGACCTCAGACCATTAGAAAGTTTGTTTTCGCACTAGTTTAACTGCTTTTCTCAGGTGCCTCAGCGTTTTGCATAATGCAGCGCAAATGTTTTAGCTGATTCAATTTTCTCCTTGGCTTCGTGAAGTATATGTGAATGATTTGATTTCATGTTTCAAGACTTTTGTTGGCTGTCTTTTTTCCCTAAATTTACATTTTGGCATTTTTGGCGTTTATTTTGAAAATGTTGGCATGATTTGTTTAGGTCACGAAAGTGGGCGATCCTTCTAAGTATGGTGTCGTAGTCTTTCAAGAAAATGGAAAAATTGACAAGTTTGTTGAGAAGCCAAAAGATTTCGTGTCAAACAAAATCAACGCTGGTCTCTATATATTCACACACAAAATATTCGACAGGATAGAAGTACGTGTTTTTGAATTGAATCCCAGCTATGTTTTTTTGCAAAGCGAGTCTAATATTTTGTCGGAGAGGTGCGTATTTTTTCTTATGTAGGTGCGTAAAACATCGATTGAAACTGAAGTCTTCCCACTGATGGCCGATGAAGAAGAACTGTTCGCTTTTACATTAAAAGGTAAACTGGCTTTTTGATTGACCCCCCTGGTCCTGCGGAATGCAGGACCAACCGTGGGCGAGGGTGATGTCATCCATTTCGCCGCAGCCGGTCCCACCTTGAGGAGGTGGATGACACTGGGACCCCTCCAAATGTGTCCGAAGTGGGATTCGAACGCTTGAACCTCGTTCGAATCCCACTTCGGAAACGGTTCGATGGGTCCCACTGTCATAAATTGCAGCTAAATTATCACTGAAATACTTCAATACTGTGTTCCGACTGCTTGAAGAGTAGGAAGGAACTATGGCAGAGGTTGGCTCTCTGCTGCGATTTTAGCGTGCCTAAAAAACTCGATGTGGGGTGAAATATTAAATTATTTCAGTTTCTTTTCGCTTTTGATCGAGAGGTTTCCAAAAAAATGTTTGACTCGTTTGTCATTAAGTTTGTTTGCCTTTACTACACTAGCAAGCGCCGTGTATAAGAATGACTCTAGTTTTGCTCCAACCTATATATTTTGAGCGTGTCTTTATTTTAATTTTCCGCTTATTCGAAATTTGTGTTATCTGTTGATTCTGAATTGTTTCTGATTTTTCTGTGCTTGAATTTTTGAATTGGTTTTTAAGAGAATAGAGTAGCGCAATGTGTTTTAGCATCGCAAAGGTTGCGAAGCTCCATTTCGCCATTGTGCTTTTTTTTTTTCTCAAAAGCCCAATAAGTTTAAGCATCACGCGTTTAGCGTCCAGCTATATGTTAGCTTGGCAAAAATTTAGGCGTTAAAAAATTCAATCGCTGCTTATGCTTGTCCTGAATAGGAAGCAAAAGGAATTTAAAATCATTTGATCAATAGAGTTCAAATCCCCTAAAGCTTTTTTAATAGCTTCTTAACCGGCAGCGGATTTAGGGGGGCGTGTGGTACCCATCTTCCTCGGAGATTCGACTCCCTCGCCACCTAAAAGGCCATCTTTAGTACTGCTCTAAGACATCCATCTATTTTCGAAGAGCTAAAAATTTTTTAAAAAAAGATCGACGACAAGAAAACATTTTTTAAACCCCCCCCCTCGAAAAATTTTCGATCCGCCCATGGTGTTAACCTTTAAATGACACCGCCTTGCAAGAGAAAATGATTATGTCCAGGTTTCTGGATGGACGTTGGACAACCCCCTGATTACCTCGACGGAATGTGCCTCTACCTAAAACATCTGTTGAAGAACTTCCCTTCAGCTCTTGTGCCAGAATCAGTCCAGATACCGGCCAGTGCGAAATTGATCGAGCCGGTATTGTTGGATCCCACGTGCACGATAGGCGAGAACTGTTGTATAGGACCGAATGTGACGATAGGTCCAGGTTGTAAAGTAGAAGACGGAGTGAGAATCCAGAGAAGTGCTATCCTCAGAGGCACTGTAGTGAGGAGTCACTCCTGGATCCACTCCTCAATCATAGGCTGGAAGTGCAATGTAGGACGATGGGTGAGTTTATATCAAGATTCTCCGCCCTGTTAATCAATTCTACGTTAATCAGAGTCCAAGTCTGATTTTATGTCTGGTTTTATTAGACGATATATAAGACCATTCAATAGAGCGCGATTCTTAGAAATTACGGCGTGGGTACTGTTGTGATTCAGTATTTTTAGTATGTTATAACCTTGACCTCTATTATCTAATTACGTACCAGTCAATGTTAACTCTACGAAGTCCAGTGGACTTCGGCTCACTAGTTGCTCTTTTTAGACTACAGTCAGTTTTAATTCAACCAATACTTTTATTCTCTTTTAACTTTAGTTAGATACAATAGTTACCAGTGGTACATCTTAATTCTTTATTATGGCGCAGTCAGCAACTGATTCGAACCTGAGGGGAATACCCGCCTTTTGGCCGAACCACACGGTAGAACCTCCCAACCAATGGAACAATTGGATAAACCAATTCCATTTGGCTATTATCGCGAAGGAAAATCTAGACTTAGATAACCTCAAAGAAACAATGGAAGGGGAGACGACGTTACCGATCCTAGAAGGTGCCCAGGAGTCAGAAACTGACCAACAGAGGAAAGCCAGGGAGGCCAGGAACAAAGAAACAATGCGAGTCTACGAACACGCTGAAGAGAAAAGACTAGCAGAAGAAAAACGGAAATTCGGAGGAATGAGGAGATATGAGGCCGATAAAAAAGTAAGGTCAATCCTATACTTGGCCTTAGGAGCGAAAGACAAAAGAGTTTTCGCCCAGAAACATCCAAGGGTAAAAGCCCTAGGAATCTCATTCAAGGAATTTTACGAAATGCTAGAATTGGCTTTTATCAAACCAACCAACATAACATTTGAACGATACAAACTATTGAGCAGGAAACAAAAGGATAGAGAATCCTATGAACAATTTTGGGGCGCGTTATCAGATTTAGCAAGATCGTGTGAAATTGGAATTAATGCAGAACAGGAGTGGATCAGAGACATATTTATTTTCTACTACAACGTAGACAACGTAGTAGTCTACGTTGTAACTGCGACTTACAACGTAGACTACTATCGGAAACTCTCAATCCATTGGATGCACTAAACCAAGCAATAATTGACGAAAAAGGCTACTATAACCACCTCAAACTAACCAATATGACTAGATCTTTCAACACGACAGGAAATAGTGGGAGAGGGTATAAAAACTTCAACAACGTAAAAAAGGAACCAAGCTTGAACATAGAAAGATGAAATGCGGGAATGCGTTTACCAAGGGTCATCTGAATGTATGTCCGGCGAAAGAAATTGTGTGTAATATTTGTAAATATAAAGGACATTTCGGAAGACTTTGTAAATCGAAAGGAAGAAAACCCGCTGTAAATATTGTAGATGAAGCTGTAAATAGTCAGAATTGTTCATATTCCCCAGAAGACCTTCAGGTGAGAAGCGAAGAAAATTTTTGCGGAGTGATTAACGCTTGGACCGAAGAGGGCATAAGTGATAACGATGACTATTCCGTTCTCAACATTAGAACAATCTACGATACCAATGGTTTGGAAACCAAGAAACTTGTCAACATCGGTTTGGGAGACGATGCAATAGTCAACTTGAACATTCCAGTGGATTCGGCAAGCCCAGTGAGCTTCCTGAAACAAAATGTACTTCACGAATTGAAGCTGAGAAATCCACAGTTGAAGATTCAGCCAGTTGAGAAGAAAACGAGGGAACTATATTGCGGATTCACTAACGACACAATCAACATCATCGGGAAAGTGGTAGTGAGATTACAATCCAATGGATGGATTGCGGACGAAACCCCATTTTTTATCACTTCTGGACATGAGAGGAACATCCTGGGTAACGACAATCTCCCGAGAATTGGAATAGAGATAGCCCAACGACAGCCTCTACTACCCGTCAACAACATATCACGCCCAGAGTTGTGTAAGTTAAATAACTATTCAGACACGACCCTTAATCTGTATCATAGGTACAAAGGGCTATTTTACAGAGTGGGAAAAATACCATTGGACAGAAAAGGTACTCATTTCCATTCCCCATTCAAACCTATCCAAACCAAAGGTAGAAGAGTTCCCCTACATCTACTCAATAACGTAAAAACGGAACTAAATAGAATGGAAAAAGAGGGGCATATCATAAAGTTCAACAAATGCGATGAAGATTGCTTTATAAGTCCAATTGTGATTACAAGAAAAAAAGACGGTAGCATCAAGTTGGCATTAGATTCGAAACTATTAAATAATCAGATATTCAAGAACAAGTACCAGATGCCAAACATACATGAACTGATCGATAATATTGCACTCCAACTGTCAAGCAAAGAGTCAGGGGAAGTTTGGTTTGGTAGTCTAGATCTAAAGAACGCGTACAGCCAACTACAATTATGCACAGACACTAGCAAACAGTGTAATTTAAGTATCGTGTGGGGCGAAACCACTGGAACCTATAGGTTTTTGACTGGATTTTACGGATTGGGCGATATGCCAAACGAATTCCAGAGGGTGATGGATTCCTTATTGAAAGACATTCCTTTTACCAATTGTTATATCGGCGAAATTTTAATAGCTTCGAAAGGTTCATTAAATGAACACAAAGCGATACTAACAAACATTTTGGACAACAAGAATATGTCGGTAAAATGGGAGAAATGTGCATTCTTCCAGAAAGAAATAGAGTGACTAGGTTTCAAGATATCAAAATCGGGCGTGAAACCATTGGTGGGAAAGTCAGATTCGATTAAAAACCTACCAAACCCCAAAAATATATCTGAACTTAGGTCTTTCTTTGGGTCGATCAATCAGTATATGAAATTCGTCCCGAATTTGTCTGCTCTAAGTTCCCCCCTACGACCACTTCTCGTGAAGAAATCAGTCTACCAATGGAATGACGAACATACTAAAGCATTTGAAGAACTAAAACAACAGATAGTGAAGATAACAGAGAACAACCATTTCGACATAAAAAGGATGTCAAGACTAAAGACAGACGCTTCTCATAACGGCTTAGGAGCTACCTTAGAACAATGGGATGGAGAAAATTGGGTAACAATAGCATTCGCCTCCCGATTTTTAAACAACCACGAAAGTAAATATTCGACAAACGAACTTGAAATGTTGGGAGTAGTCTGGGCTACAGAACATTTTAAAAATTACTTGTATGGTGCTGAATTTGAAATTGTGACGGACCATAAGGCATTATTATCAGCATTAAATGCAAACCAGAGCAACAAAACTATGCATAGCAGATTAACTTGTTGGGTAAATCGACTGTTACCATTTAATTTCAAGATCAAGCACATTCCGGGAAAAGAAATGGGATTTACAGATTTATTGTCGAGACTACCTTCAGGAAAAGCACTCCCTACATCACACTACAATAACGAATTTGTAGTGGCTACAGTACAAAAGATTGTAGAAAACCTCTCTGTAAATAACGATTGTAAAAAGAATAATTGTAAAAAGAACGAAGTGTATAATCCATTGGATGTAAATACGATTAGTAACTTGGATTGTAATAATCCAATGGGTGGAAAGAAAGATTTATCGCAAAGCATCCAACGGTCGTTCTTCTCGAATATTCTGAATTACGTAAACGACAATATCGGAATTTGTAATTCCAATCACTCGCGTTCAGAGTCTTGCACAAGCGGTTGTGTTCCATTAAATTTATCAAAATTTGATTTCAATTATTTTTACTTATCAGAAAAACCATTTTTATTCTTTCTTGCCCAATCAGTAATATTAATCAATCAGTCATTTAATTCAGATAAAAAAAACAGTTGCAAGAATTTATCACATCGGTCAACTTGTTAAAAATTTCCCTCAGGGCAGAAAAGAAAGGAATCTTCTTGAATTTTAATAACGACATAATGTCAGACCTACACAAGAAATTATTGGCCAAGTAGAAGGGAGATCTCAGATTGCCTGACAACCAGTTATCACTCTCAGATCATTGCTCGAATAAGCTGATTAAACTCATGACGGACGAAGATAAAATCCTCAAGGAGGTAAAGAAGGCGGTACAGGAAGGCAAACCATTGGACAAATTCGGAGCCTACTTAAAGAACTTCCAGAGGGATATCCATGTGAAAGAAGGACTGTTATTCAACGATAACAAACTGATAGTGCCGGCTGCATTACGATCACCATTCCTGTCACTCCTTCGCGAGACTCATCCAGGGCAGTTTGGGATGAAAGCCCTGGCAGAAAACATCTGGTGGCCACACCTATACAGAGATATACCATCATGGAAAGAATTGCACTCAGTGCATAATGGCCGGTAAGAACCTAAAAGTGTTACTAGGGACGAACAAGACTGAGAAATTACCGATTCTGTCCGAACCAAATGAAGAAGTAGATTTAGACTTTGCTGGCCCATTGGACAAGAGTTGGGGTAACGCAAAATACCTTTTGTTATGCATTGATCGCTTTTCATAGTTTCCGTCTGCGAAGGTAGTAAACAACACCTCGACTTCTTCAATTTTAACCTTCGTGACAGATTACTGCCATCTTCACGGATTTCCAAAGTCCATTAGAGCTGACCATGGGTCATGTTTTACTTCGTTTGATTTTAGGAACTTCTGTGAGAAGAACAACATTAATTTAATTCTCTGTACGGTTGGTGATCATAGATCCAATGGAGTAGTAGAAAGACTCATTTAAACTGTCAAAGCTAAGCTTCTGGCAATATCGTTCAACGATCCAAAACCATCTTTAAATACGGCTATTGATAAAATTATTTGGAACATACGCTCGACGAAACAATCATCCATTGGATGCTCTCCTTTCTCAAAACATTTTAATAGATCTCCCAATACGTTCTGGAAATCTTTGGTCTCTCACGCAATTAGTTTAGATAAGGGGAAATCAATCTTAACGAATGACAGAGCACAAGACTGGGGGGCTGATGACGCGTTCGAAGATGGCTATCTGGAAGACAGAGCAATTGATTAAAGAGGGTATGAGAGCGACCCTGCTGACAAAGTAGACAGAAATCTCCAGCGAGCCCCACTGTCAAATCCTTTCAGCCAAGGAAGTAACTGGTTTAGGAAAACAGTTAACAGGAGGGAAGGAGAACCTTATTTTAAACCACTGGTGAGTAAACCTTTGTCAGACACGAAACATACGGTCACATTAGATAACGGACATGTGATAAGAAAATCTGACTTAGCTTTTAACAAAACCCAACCGGCAGCTCCTAAGACATTCTCGGCAAGACCGAATTCGCTAACTAATAGTAATGATTTAGCAGGCAAGCGAAAAAGAAACTCCCCTTCCAAGAGACGAGACTCAAATATAGGAGGCCCTTCGATGAGTTACACACCAACGGGTGGAAATTCTAGCAAAAAGAGAAGAACATTCATCACGAGCTCGAAAGGTTCAAAATTCGACTTTAATAACCTAGATTCGTCGTTAGAGTTAGACCTTTGGGATAAAGTCATTGACGACTACTTGGGTACGGAAGCGGAAACTGTATGTAATACACCGACTGTTAACCTTCATAGTGATTTAGATCAACCAAGGAGTACCGTAACAAGCCAGACAAATACGCAGACAACGGTCACTTTACCAACGGGCACAAGTGACGACCCAATTCGAGTGGATAGCTCTCCGAAGACAGTGGAGACACCAAAGACCCCGATACCCGCAAAACTTCGTGCAAGAAGAAATCCAGGCCCGCCGAAATTCTATGACGATAGACGGTTTATCGACCAAGTGACGCTCGGAACGGAGACCATTAGTGCAGTAGACTCCGATGACGAACCGCTTTTTACGTTTTCCGGTGCAAAGAGTCCAAAACAAAATTTATCATACTGTACGACGTCCCCCTCGGATTATCTTACACCCATTGATGAGATCCCACGTCATACGATTTTGGTTGCTGAAACCACACAAGACCAACCCTCAACACCTTCCTCTCAGGCGACAAGGACCGCATGGGTATCGCCACCATTGGTAGAAGTTACCAGTAATACCCAGGATGACGACGGCAGTGACATATCCTCGTGTATCGATACCGATGTAAGAAGAGAGGCAGATAGTTTCTATCCTAGATACAACTCTACGGTCACAAACTCTGAAAACTTTTAAACTATGGTAACATGACATGTTACGTATTTGATTCAGCTTTTATCCATTGGATACCCAAAACTTTTTTTTTAACCTAGTTAGTGAGTTAGTTAGTCTGCTTTAATTGTACAAATGCTACATAACCCCAATTGTACATATCATTTTGTTCATTCAGTGTTGATATCTGTGTAAACCTGTAAGTAGCCTGTATATATTACCATATAATCACCTCCATTTGTAATTTGTACTCTCTGTAAAAATCCATTGGTGCTAAAAGCGGTTACGTTTTATTTCTTCTTTGGCCCTGGTGGAGCGAGGGGAGATGAAGTATATGTGTGATATTGGCTACATCGTTGAGCGGGCAGATATTAATTTTTTGTGCAGTGGGGAATGTTGTGATTCAGTATTTTTAGTATGTTATAACCTTGACCTTTATTATCTAATTACGTACCAGTCAATGTTAACTCTACGAAGTCCAGTGGACTTCGGCTCACTAGTTGCTCTTTTTAGACTACAGTCAGTTTTAATTCAACCAATACTTTTATTCTCTTTTAACTTTAGTTAGATACAATAGTTACCAGTGGTACATCTTAATTCTTTATTAGGTACTAATCCCGTTGGTTTCTCCTTCGTTTTAAACAAATAATGGAATTTAGTCGTTTTTTTTTTTGCTCTAGAGCTACTTTTCAAGAAAAAGTTTTAGCTGGATTTTTTGCAGACTGATTTTTAATGTTCTATTATCGTGTAGCCTAGGCATCGAATGAATCCGACTCAAAAACCATTCCAAACTGAATAGAGAGAAGATAATTGGTCAAATTATTGCATTGTAAATAGATGCAAAATATATCACTTTTTACTTACCATAGCGTGTGGGGGAAATTTATCAAAAAATGGAATATGATTCAAAACTTTTTGAAATTTCTTTTTTTTTTGTAAAACAAAAATTGGCACTGTTTTCCTGCGTGCTCGTGAAACGGCAGTCGAATACAAGGAGTCTTCTATATTAAGTCATAAACATTTGTGCAGTCACCTTCGAAGTATCGGTCAAAATTGTTGTGAGTGGTTCGATCTTTTTACGCTCGCATACGAAGTGCAATTTTGCGTCGTTTCAATGTAATTGAAGCGCATGTTAAGAAATGTTTTGGAACTTTTTTGTAAGTTCATAGGTTAAGACTATTTATCCAAGGAGGAAAGGACCAACACGAGAGCTGTACTGCTCATCACGGCGAACCGCTGTTGTGCCCCTGTGTAAGAACTACATGCAATTTTTTTGGCTGTTTTTCTGGGCTGGGCAATGTTGCTTCACCCTCAAGCAACGAGCACGGATCATGGTGGGCCTCGAATATCCGACTTTTCGATTGAGAGGCGGAAACGTAACCACTTTACCACCGCTCCACATCAGAACCATGTGATTTTCAGAAGTGGTTCAAGTGGGAAGGATGAAACTAGTCAATGCCACAGAGTATCTGGATATAACTGCGTCTGTTTTTTAAACCGTTTAAAAGCGAGAGATAGCACCAAGGAGTAGGCTAAGTAATGTTAAGCTAACTAAATAAATTGGCTAGGAAGAGTGAAAGTAAGCATTGTCTGTAATTAAGAGTAATGAACGTAGTGAAGACACTTATATAGGTCTTGCTGATTTTTTTTTCAGGAAAAGTCTCTAATAACAACAGATGTGCATTCATACATATTAACGTATTTATGAATGAACTTAGGTATGTATGCACTTTTGAGTTCAATTGCAATTCATCTGATATGCTGAATGTAAATAGCACTCTCCAAATACGAACGTGGAAATAGCACGAAAAAACGAACGATTTCTAGTTTCGAAAATGGAATTTAATTTATAGATTTCCAGCGGAATAAAAACTTTACCTGTTGATCCAGTTTCTCAAGTTAAGTTAATGCTGTCTGAAAAGCGCCAATCATACGTTCTAGAAATTCAAAGAGCTTAAAAGGCATCTATTTTTTATTTTGAAATTCGAAAGTTGAGATTTTTTCAAGAAAGTCAGTTTTTTTTGTATGTTTACTGGCGTTCATTGCTCTTTTCCAATCGTCGATCGGCTATGTTTTAATATGATCACAGTTTAGGCGCGAATTGACAACGTGACAGTGATGGGAGAAGACGTTCAAGTGAGGGACGAATTGTACATCAACGGGGGAAGAATTTTGCCTCATAAGGAGATCAAAGAGTCCATACCACAGCCAAGTATCATCATGTAGAATAAACATCAAGTCTGATCAAATCATTCACCACGAAATCACATTCAAAATAATGCTCAGTTGAGAAGGTACAAACTTCCCTAATTGACTTTGTATAATTATGTCATATGTTGATTTCAAAATGGTTTCCTTGCAATCTCTGATTTTTTCCTGCAAATTAGTTTTTTTATGAATGTACGTTGGCTTATTTGCGAGATGGAAAGATAATCAGAAGGTTGCTTAGTTCTTGAATATGCAATGGGAAAATTAGGGCAGAATTATGAAATCTTTAGGAACTGTTGGTTTGCTAGAAATGTGACGATTTATCGGCTATTTGAAACGTAAAAGATAATCTGCTCGAAAAGATGTTACGTAGGTAAACTGGTACTCAACAAAGATCACTTTTAATTAAATTGTTCATTCAAAGCTTTGTAGCCGTCTAATTTGACCATTGAATTTCCTGTATGGTGCCTTAACTCGTGTAATAGTGTACAGCGGTGCATGTTTGTACGCATAAGTTGTTTGGGATTGCCTAAATTTGGAGCTAGGATTAAATATTTAATTTGAAGTTCATCAAATTGTACTATTTGTCATTTAATGCTCATCCTGTTTCAGATGGTATTTAAGAGTCGATGAACGTAATTCGGACTCTTATATAGGTCACGGTGATTTTTTTTTCAGGGAAAGTCTTAAAATTTGTTCAGGCTAAAATTTACTTTTTCGCGGTTTGTCTTTTGGTTTCTTTTTAAATTCAGCACATTAACTTTGTTGAAAGGAAGGCAAACTCCTCTATCGAACAGCGAAAGTGTAAAGGTCACGAAAAACGTGATCGACTTCTAGTTTTGGAAATGGAACTTAATTTTCAAATTTCCCAGCGAATTAAAAAATTTACTTATTGATCCAGTTCTCAAATTGGGTTAATTTTATCAAAAAAACCTATCATAAATTGTTCTAGATAATCAAAAAGGTTTGAGGGTATCTATTTTTTTCTTTGAAATTAGAAAGTTGAGAAACAAGTCAGTTTTCTGTTTAATTGCGTTCATTGGCTCTTTTCCAACTGTCTGTTGGCTATGTTTTTATTAATTGTACATAAATTCGGGATGAATCTATTCACATATGAAGTGTTTGCTCAATAAAAGCAATCATGGTAGCTCAAAATTGGCGCTGAGTTTTTCCATACATTTTAGAAATATGCGTTTCATGCTATATTTTTCGTAACATGTTTGTATTCTGGCCGTTTTTTCCTTTGGCTAACATATCCTGAAATGTCTTGTTTGTGGTTATTCTATTGTGCTGTAATGAAATAATTATAATTTCAGAAATGATAATTATTGAAGATGTATAATATTTGACGATCAGGCAGCCAACTGGGTAGCCGAAGTTCTGATTTTATTTCACGGTTAAATTAATTATTAAAATTGATTGTAAAGAATCTGTTTTTAACGTCCGTGGAATCAATTTGAGAGATTTTTTATTCATTATTCAGGCCTTTGCAGGAATTTGAGTGTATATGCCAGGGATGGTTTTTTCTTCGGACAGTATTGTTTGTAACGAAAGGGAGTTTTGATTTATTATTATAATTTAGTCATTCGATAAGTCCAGTATTTGTCAGACGACGAATTTTCATGTGTTTAATTTTGGTCATGGTTAAGTTGTACTGATACATCGATGATATGTGAAAGGATTTCAGCACAAGCGTTTAGGATTTTATTGTTCCGACTTTCAAAACGAAAGTAACGGAATATTTGTGCTCGGGGTGGGTCTTTTTCTTCAGACAAATTTCGACTTTTTAACTAGCCATTTTTGACGGAATTTTTTTACATCATTCGAAAGGTATTGTTGCCCAAAGCTTAAATTTGAAAAGATAACTTACCTGTCATCATTTTTCTTAAAGATATGGGGGTTTAAAGACTGCCATTTTGGACAATTAACGCGCGATATATTTCGCGCTATTAACGCGTAAGCGGAGATGTAGTCCGTTTGAGAAATCGTTGCAAATTGGTTGAACGAAGCTTATTTGCCATCATTTATTTTTTACAAGGAGCGCAATCTATCCTTTTGTACTTTTTATTACGTGTGGGGGGATGATTTTCACAAAAAATCTCAAATTTTAGAAGAAAAAAATTCATTTTTTTAATTAAATTTAACGTTTTATGTTATTACTGCTGCATAAGCCTTAATGGCAATCGAAATAATCAGGGCTTTGCTCTGAATGTTTATAAGGCGTGTGGGGGATGATTTTTACAAAAAATGGTGTGTGGGGGGATAATTTTTACAAAAAGAATTCAAGTTTCAGAGAATTCTTTTATTATTTTATTACATTTAATTTTTCTTTGTTATTACTGCTCCATAAACCTTAAAAGGCATTCGGAACATTCAGGGCTTCGCCCTGATAGGAGCAGTCTTGTTAACAGTTAAGGTTTGGTTCCTTGTATTTAAAAGAAGAAAAAATGAGCCAAATCACCGTCCGGAATGAATTGCGGGCTGTTAAATTTAGTATCTATCAATTATGCAATTAACTGGCAATAATTTAATGGGAAAATTTAATTTGCTATTTGTCTAACTTAGCCGTTTTGCAAAAATCATAAGGTTTACTGATAGTTTTTGACGTTAAAATTTTTACCATGGTGCACTCATCCTATAATTGTTGTATCTCAAATAGTGCGAAGCTCAGCTTCGCCTCTGTGTTGAGTCTGAACTAGTTTCAAAAGTCCAACAGAGCTGGGAAGAGGCAAAGCTGGGATTCGCTAACACTAGCCAGAACACTACAAAAAAGCAGCTCTATGAAGTGCAATATGAAAATGAAGCCTCGAATTCGTGAATAGTGAAGAGATAATGAGTCTCACGCAGTAACCACTTATCCTTAGCTACAGACTCTTAATTACACAGCAATGCTGGACTTTAAGTATGAACTATCTTTTTTTTTTCCAATCAAGTCGCAAGTATTGTTGCAATAACATAAGTTCATTTTGAAAGTGTTCATTTTGATCAATAACCAGCTATTAAGTACAGCCAATGCAAAGGATTTTAGCACAGACTATTTTTGTTTCAACTTTCGCAACGAAAGTAACGGAATATTTGTGGGTTGGCTTTTTTTCAGATAAATTTCGACTTTTTAACTAGCCATATTTTTTATATTCAAAACGTATTGTTGTCCTGAGATCAAATTTGGAAAGATATTTCACTTGTGATTATTTTTTGTTGAATTATGGGGTATAAAAATTGCCATTTTGGCCAATTTGGGACAATTAACGCGCGATATATTTCGCGCTTTTAACGCGTAAGCGGAGATTTATTACGTCTTAGAAACAGTTCCAAATTGGTTTAAGGAAGCTTATTTGCCATAATTTATTTGTTAATACGAGCGAAATTTATCACTTTGTACTTGATATAGCGTGTTGGGGATGATTTTTACGAAAAATCTTAAATAAAAAATTTTTCATTATTTTTATGACATGTTTTTACTCCTCCATAGACTGCTCTATAAACTGAGATATTTTAGTTGGTAAGTTTCTCCTTTTTTTCAAATTGACTGGTACTGCCAATGCGTCATAATTGGCGTGCGTCACTAAAGAAATTTTGAAGACTCAAAGTTTTACTCATTCAGTTTTTCCAGTAGCGTTATCGGTCGTATTTTTGCTTGTTTATGCAAATTGCAACTTTGCCTCTGTGCAATAAGCTCTGTGTAATTATAGCAAAAGTTCCAAATAAGTGAAAGCTTTTAATGAATACTTTATTTGCGAGTTAGGTTGTAAAAAGGAGGCTTAACTAAAACACTACGCTCGCAACCCCGCAAGTGTAAAAGCTAAACGTTGGAAGAAATTGAGATTTAATTGAAAAACTATGAAACTAAAAGCTTCGTGTCAGGATATCAAACATGTTCACCAGTGCGTAAATAACTTTGTTCTTTAATTTCAAGATCTCCATTTTCAGCTTATTGTACCTTAAAAACGTCAAGTTACTTTGTCTAAAATTAATGCGTTTCTGAATCTACTGGTGCAAAAATTTTCAGATGTCAAATGGTTTTTTTGTATGCCTAATTGATTTTGGTCTAGTTTGTGTCAATTTGTTTGACGTTTTATAAAAGTTTTGTTCAATTACTTACTTAAATAAATTCAAAAATTGTAACACCTGGTTAAAAAGTCAAACACGCGCAAACGTTTTTATACACACTTTTCAACACGTTTCTTAATACACGCTTAAACGTTTAGTTATATACACGCTCAAACTTATATAGGTCGCAATATTATTTAAGTCCTGAATTGCTCAAATTTACTTTTTAGCTTGGTTTTTGATTTATTTTTAAGTTCAACTCATTTCCTTTGTTAAAAAGAAGGCAAAGAGATATTGAATTGCTAAAGTGTAAAATTCACAAAAAATGTTATAGTCTTCTAGGGGATCTCTTCTGAACTGCTCAAATTCAAAAACAATTACTAAGTAGTATCTAAGTAGTTATTTAGATAGTAATTAGTTTTAGGCCGTTTGAAGTTCTAAATACCTTTTTAAAAGTATTCAAAATGCAAGTTCTTTTCAAGAAAACATTTTTTTTTCGGGTTCGTGGTTTTCGTCCTTGTTTCTGTTGGTTCATTTTCCGCTTTTTGAAATGCTTTTTTTTGGTAAAAATTGTATTATGCTTACTTTTAAAGCATGGTCTTTCTTCCAATTGAAACAAGTTTTACAATAACTGAAAGTTCACAACTTCGTAAATTTACCATGTTTATTTTTAGGTGTTAATTTATTTAAAATAATCAAGCAGTTTCAGTTCATGTTTTATCGAATTAGTCAATTTATTTTGTGTAATTTTGAAGGCAAATTATATCTGGTTAGTATTTTGTGCTTCAGTTTGGATGGGCCGTAAACAATTTTTGATTTTTCTGCTGTTTTTTATGACAACAGTTTTGTTATCGGCTCAAAAGGTTTCGACCCAAAATTTATCGCTTTTGTTGCCGCTGGGTAATTGATTTGAATTTTGAAGGCTTTTTATGAACTTCATCCGATATGAATATTATGTTGTCGTAGCTGTAATTTTTCAACTTTTGTCAGGTTAATTTTCAAGTAATTTATTTTTCCAACATTAATTTTTGGAATTTTTTTACTTCTCTTTGTTTTTATTCAATATTTCGTAATTCAGTGTGTGTTTTGCATTGCAATAGTTGCGAAGCTCCGCTTTGCCTGTGTGACAAAAAATTGCCACTCATAGATTATTCTAGAATCTCAAAGGGCTTGAAGAGTATCTACTTCTTTCTAACAAATCGAAAGTTGAGATGTTTTCAAAAAAACAATCAGTTTTTTATTCTGTTTACTTGCGCTCAATAAATTTTTTCCAACTGCCTGTTCCATATGTGTCCAGTTTCTTTCGAAAGCAGGGTTTCTGTTGTTTTTCTTGTCTCATTGTGTGTGCTGTTAGCTGAAGACAACTTAGTATCAAAATTTCAATTTGAGCAAACTCATTTCAAATCCATTGAAGGTTATGGCACAGCTTATTGCCCGATAATACTTTCTCAAATAAACTTCCGGATAACTTTGTTTTCAAATTTCGACTCGATTGTTTTTGCTGCAAAGGTATTTGGCGGGTGTTCCGCAATATTTGAAATACTGAGTTTTTTGAAAATTAAGAAATTTCGCCTTTTTTTATTAACGGGCATCTTTTTTAATCTACTTTGTTGAGGTACAGCTACCTTACCGATGCGTATAAGCTTTAT